GCGGGATTTATGGATGGGATATGATTTTGATCTTTCGGGATTTGATTGGATCATGAAAAGGGGGCTTTCCAAAATGAACATGGAATCAGACCCGGACACCAGTCTGCAGTTGGTTGAAGAGGACTACTCGCCTTATGCAACACCTTGCATTGTAGGAGGGGGACAAAATCGGTACTACAGGAGATGCAGGAGGAGGGGGAGGGACAACATACTGGTCAAAGTGCATGTTGATTTTCTCAGTGAAAAAAGGTTAACACATCCTCTAGAAAGAAAATGCCTGCACATTTTAATGCACAATTACTGTTTATTTGCTGAATTTAACACATTGGGGGAAAAAAACTAAAATGCAGTATGTGCAAATTTTATTTTATTTTTTCCAACATTACATTCAGAAGCTTGTTTTCCCTTTAACAAAACATGTCATTTCAACTTTTGCCCATGACTGTATAATGTTGCTTCTCCAGTGGTGCATAGCAACATAATAAAATGTCAGAAAAAGAAACAACAATGTAGTCTTTGTAAGGATATGATGAATTGACTTTTAAAGGGTTTTCACACTTGCACGGCATTTACACAGTTGTTCAAGAACAATACATCGAAAGGTTCATCTAGGGAACCAAAAGTGGTTCTTTTATGGCATCGTACCAAAGAACCATTTTATTTTTAAGACTGTGAGTATGTTTACCCTGGAGCAAACTTGGCAACACCCTCAGGCCGTTATCTTCACTGTTAGAAGCTAATCCATTCAGATTTCAACGGGAATGTCAACATTAACATGAATGTTCTGAATGTCTCTGACTTGGATTTGAGGGAATCCCCACCGCCATATTAAAAACCTTCTGATTCTCCAAATAGGGTTAAGAATTCAGCAGGTCCTTCAGCCCTTGACTTGACTTGAGTGAGTCTACATAACTATAGGCTTCATGCAGTGCCATATCCTGGAATGCATTTCGATTTTTCATCAAAACCTTATGGTGAAGATAACTTGACAAGAATGTGTATGAGTTTATGTTGAATTGACGAGGTTCAGTAGCCAATCACAGAAGATATATATCTTTAACTCATATTAGACAGCATACCAATTGCTAATGATTCCAGTTAACCACAATTCCTTGAAACTGAAGTAAATCCTTGCTAACATGAACTAATGTGACGTGTGTAGGACAATGTTAAAGCTACAAAGTTTGGATGGTGTAAGTAGGAAGTCAGTGCTAAAAAGAAAATAAACTGAGGGTAAGTCTCTGTTTTTGTTTTTCTCCCTAAGCATTGTTTGGTGGTTGTAACGAGCACCTGCTGTGCTGCTGTTAGTGCTATCCGTCTGACTGCCCCTTAACTTAGTGGCTGCATGTGTACACACACCTACACATACTCAATAGCACAGCCACTGGCTAAATAAAGTCCCTTGCTCCAATGTGGCCTCGTGCTGGAGAGAGCCCTTTCACAGGCTCCACATGTGACAGCCTTTCATGCTGCTTCTGAACTCCCGCATTCGACGGCACAAGCTGCTGCTGAATTACAAGCAAACTCAGTCGCTCTAGTCTCTTCCACAGGGAACTCTGCGATTGTGACGAGATGAGCGTAGGTGTAAACTGTTCCGACATAGTTGTTTTTCTTCATTTTTTCTTCGCTCTCTATTGTTGTCTGAGTTCGAAGACAGGCAGCCCAGTTTTACAGAAACGCCAGCCCCTCCTTCTCAGCACGAACGTGGAAGATGGATTTGACAGATTTAACCCTGAGGGACTGACTATATTCTTGAAATAGCATGTTCAGTAGCACCTCCTCGACCCACAAGCCCTCCACCCTTTGCTGCTCCCAAGATGTGAAGTAATTGTCTTTACCACACCAAATCATGTGAAGTGGCAGGCAGGAAAGGTGGGCAGGACATGCCACCATAGGCCTCAAAACCATAGCAACCTGTGGATCCCTCTGTCAGGTGGCTATAAGGCTTAATGAACTTGTTTCTCACTCTCCAGGTGCCAGGAGAACCATAATTGCGCAGCATGGTGGAATGAGAAGGGAAAACAAAGGAAAATTAACGCCACATGATTCCTCAAGGCAAGTCACTGTGAAAGAGTTTTTTGAATTGCCTTTGCAAGTAAGTGTGGATGATGCCGTTAGCTTATATCTATTCTTATCTGGGTACTTCAGTTTATTTTTACATTAATTGTATCATATAAGTATGCTATGTACTGAAGTGCTATATGCGATTACGTGAAACTTGCGCACACACAGCTTGGATAATTTCCATAGAAAAGGACTGCCAATAGAATGGGATGCTCTAACGTCTCCTTGCCCAGTGCCAAGTGTCAGCTAGAGGGTTATAAAGCCCCCCAAAAATTGGGCTGTGGGGCAGTGGAACTGCGTTCTCTGGAAAGATGGACCTCCATCCAGTACTTTTGGGATGAGTTGGAGTTGCATTTGTGATCCCGATCTAATCATACATCATCAGTACCTGACCTCACTAATGCTCTTGTGGCTGAATGCAGTAAAATTATCACAGCAGTGTTCCAACATCTACTCTAAAGCTTTCTCAAAAAAATAAAGGCTGTTACTACAACAAAGTGGGACAGGCCTAGACCTAGGTTAAGCTTAAGCGTAGACAAAAAAAGAATTTCCAGTGGTGATTCACCATTGACACTGCAATTTAGTTCAAGATTAGGCTTAATCTGTGTCCAGGAAACCTGTACATAGTGTTTAGTGAAGTATAGCTGATGAACTGCAGAGTTTTTTAGCTGTGTTAACTATTACTTGTCAACTTTTTATATATATATATAATATCTTCTCACAGGTACATCAAAGTCAATTCCCTCTACCCAGCATGTCAGCAGCACCAGTTTGATGCCGCTGACGCCTGCTGTGCAGTGGAAAAAGGACTCAGCTGTTCTGCCATTCTTTCACCCATTTCAAATGTGAGCCTCAGCCACAGGGCACAACTGTGCATTCACCAAGCCTTGCTTTCTACCAGGTGCACCATTTAGGAGCTTATTTATTAGTATTTATTAATAGTCTTAATTTCCCAGTCTCACTAATATGTAAAGCTGAGGCAGAGACGCCACAGCTCCCAAGAGCTCTATAAATTAAACCTAATTGATATAATAGGCCTAATTAGCTGCATGGTGATGGAATCCAGGTGTCACCTTTATATGTTAGCATTGGTGCACTTAACAGGGAACTGCTCTTGTTCATGGTGGAACAGCTGCCATGCTCTTCAGCTGCCAACAGAAGTACCTGTCCGGGCTCCAGACACCAGCCAGTGATTTTGGTCCGGTTCTTTTGGACCATGTCCACTGTGTGAGGTTCCAAATGACTAGAGATTAAATAGCTCTAAATGAAGCCCCAGATCAGCTGTGAGCAGATGGGACAACAGCTGCTTGTTAAAAAGAGCAGTTTCAGAGGAGCGATGGAGATAAAAAGCAACCCATGTCAGTGCGTGCCCCGTGGCCAAGGCCCGTGTGTGGGTGGGCGGCAGGTTTCGTTAGTGGGTCAGCTTCCCCTGCTTCCAAGACCTGTGATAATAAAGCTCTAGCAATAAACTAGCTGTGTAGATACCACGTGAGTGTCGAAGCGTTGTTTGGCCGAATTCTGTGCTGAGGAAGAGGTCAGTGGTGGGGGAGTGTGAACTTATTAGCTGTGATTGCTTACACACTGTGGAACACAGTATACAGGATAAAATATGAAACTTTAAGACGCAAATGCTGCCAGTTAAACATTTGGACACCACTACTCATAGAAGGGGCTTTCCCCTTTTTACTATTTTCCACTTTTTGGAACTATAGTGAGGACAACAAAGCTGTGAAATAACACATATGAAATTGTGCAATGACCAAACAATGTTAAACCAATCAGTATCTTGTATTCAGTACAAGTTATTCATTTTTTCAGGAGATATTTATGAGGAGATTAGAAGTTACAGAGAAAATGGAACTCTTAGAACTCTTAGACCTGAGAAAATCAAGCTCCACTCTTGATTCAAGTATAAAAAAAATCCACAGCTGTTTCTGTCCATCCTTCCGCTGTGAGAAGAACAACTCAACACTATGTGTCTGAAAGGATGTGTGGCTGTCAAGAAGCTGTTACTGAGAAAAAAAAATAGATTTAAAAAAAAATTACAAATCAAACAAAGAACAATGGACTGACCACTTCAGAGTCCAGACCTCAACATCACTGAATGTGTTTGGGATTACTTGGATTGTGAAAAGCAGAAAATGTAACCAACATCTTAGACTTCCTGCGGATAATCCTGCAGATTCCTTTGGAAAACTTAAAGCAAATCTTCTAAAAGGAAAGGAAGCTGTAATAAAGGCAAAGCATGGACCGTTGTTTTGTGGCTTCTGTATAATTATCTGGTGGACAACTTATATGTACTTAATGGCTGTTAGTTGGCTCTTATTTCATTGGCAATCAAGAATATTCCTCTTTATAAAAATGCCTTTAAAATGATTAAAAATGCATATTCAGTTCAGTGTGTCTGAACTTGACCAGCAGTTTATATTCACTAATGGTCAGTGGATCTGTCCACCTGTTACATGAGCAAAGAAAGCAAAGTACGGTAATATAGAAATGTAAGTGATGAGAGCAAGAGCACTGTGCCATTTCTGCAGTTAATTTGTTGATTTTTTTTGTTTTGGCTACTGGGTAAAAATGTACTGTGTTTCTGGAATGCCTTTGGAAGTTTAGTCTTCAGAATGTGAATGGAAACAGTTCAAATTGCTTGTAAGAACAAACAGAAAAAGCACTTTCTGCTCTGATTGTTAAATTCTGATTACGTTGACCTCATCCATATTTATAATATTTTGTTGTCATTTGCATAATTTAAAAGGCAACAACGTTTCCATCTTTTCCTTAAAGAGGTAGATGTGACCGCCGGCTGTTCTTTTAATTGGCTCTTTTTATTTGTTTCCTCAGGATTTGTATTTGTAATTACTTGACAAATACACTGTTATATCAAATATAAGGGTGGTTTTAGGCTAAAGACACATAAAAGAATTAAAGACACTCACCATGAAGTACAGAACTTTAGGGTTGAAGAGGAGCATCACAGAAAATCCTTAGAAATCCGTTTTGAGTGAGCATTCCTGCTTCCCGAAGGTGCTTTAGCCTGGAGGTCAGAGCAGCATGTCCTTCTGCTGCTCCCTCTGTTCTGACCTCTTATCTGGCCGCTGGACTCCTCTCTCAGCTCCACTCAGCTCTGCTCTCCCCTCCTCTACCTAGCGCTCTCGCTCTGTCACACACACACACACACACACACACACAACACACACACCAGTACGGCAGAAAGTTTCCTGAGGCTGCAGGTGTCTCTCTCTCCTCTTCTCTGTCATCCTGCGTTCATTATGTGCTCGGAGGAGCTCAGAGTGTGCTCTCCACCTCCTCTCTCCAGCTGGGTGCAACTCTCTCTCCCTGTCTCTCTCTCTCCCTCCCTCTCTCTCTCACACACTCCTCTTACTTTCTCTCTCCCTCTCTCTCTCTCCCTCTCTCTCTCTCTCTCTCTCTCTATATATATATATATATATATATATATATATGTATATATTATATGTGTGTGTGTGTCTCCCTCGCTCTCTCTATATGTATATATACATATATATATGTAGAGAGAGAGAGAGAGAGGATGACACACACACATATATACATCATCACATTCTCTCGCTTATTTTCTCTCTCTCACTCTCTTTATCTCTCACTCTCGCTTACTCTCTCCATCTGTTTCTTTCTTTATCTCCCTCTGTTTCTCTCTCTTCCTGTTTCTCTCTGTCTTAATGTTTCTCACTCCCTCTCTCTTTCTTACTCTCTTCCACTTGCTCTCTCTCTTCTCCTCTCTCTCTCACCTTGTGTCTTTCTTTCTGCCATCTTGCTCAGAATCACTCCCTCTACGTTCATTTTCTTTGCTTCCTCTGCTTTTTTTAAATACCCTCCACCTTTTCTTCTTCTCCTCACTCTTTATCACTACGCACTCTTATTCTCTCTCTCTCTCTCCTTTCATCTCTGCTCTACCTGTAATTTCTCAATTTGATCCGTTCACAGCTAAATGCTTCGCCTCTCTGCTTTGTAAACAGCTGTTGACCAAAAAGTGACCCGCATCAGGTTCGACTCCACCTTCGTCACATCTGCATGCCACTCTGTTCACCAGATTGAGGCCAATATTCATGAAGCACATTTTCCCCCTCGCTTTATTGCCATATTAGGTTCATGACCACATCCTACTACAGATCAGCCCTGATCATTCTTTGTACTCCATTCACCTTCCAGCTCTATTCAGACCCTCACCTTCATGCTCACGCAGAGAAAAGTGCTCAGAGCACCCGGGGATGGCAGAGGACGTTTAGTTCCACTGTGACGAGTATGTGCGTTTCCCCTGTATTCACTGCGCTGTCCTCGGCTCAGAGGAAGGACAGTTGAATGTGCTCCAACTCTTCTCAGGAGGAACAGCAGTGATGTGAATTATCGTCTGTATTAGTCACCCTCGCATGAATGTGATTAGAGAGAGCAGAGGCTGCAGGAGAGGATCCATGTGCTCATGCTCATACATATGCATGAGCGACATACATGACCTGCCTTGCATGTTGGCACATGTCCTGGTAAAAATAGAGTGAAAAAGTGAAAGTGGGACACTTTTTGGTAGATAGATCAGATATTTATCCATAGCGTAGTGAACAGAGTTGGGAGGGTTACTTAAAAATGCCTTCTGGTACTGATTACTTGTTAAAAATGTGAGCTATCAACTAATCCAAAGGATTACTGTATTAAAGTTATCTGATCACCTTTTGTTACTTTTGTATTACTGATCTTTTTAAAGTTGTGTAATTAAATGAAAACATTTTTTTCAGCAAGACAACTTAAATCTGAGAACAGGAAAAGCAGGACAACTGAAACAAACAATATAGGTGATGGGTCTGAAATTTCGAACTTCTAACACCATTCCAACATCACTATCAGTAATACATCTATTGATGTTCAGTAATCAGTAATAATCTATTGATGTTCAGTAATCAGTAATAAATCTATTGATGTTCAGTAATCAGTAATAAATCTATTGATGTTCGTTGCTATAAAAAACTCTGTCATGAAACTTTTTCTTTCTGATTTTTTCTAGAATTAGAGTTTATCTTTTGCCACAGCTCTCTGTCTCCCTTCTCCATCCTCTCATGCTGTGGCGAGTGATAAAAATCTCATAAGTAGGGATGCACAGTAGCAATCGGCCAAGATTGGAATTGACCGATTTTGACATTGATAGAAATCGGCCCGCTGATTGGTTTTTATTTTGGCTGATCTGTGCAGTTTTATGTGGTGAATAACATTAGTTAGTGCACTCACATTGTATTTGACTGCGGTTGCTATACCAATATCAGAATATCAGGATAACTATTCATGACGTATTATGCTAAATGGCCAGTGACCCTTTTACTTTTGATGTAGCACTTTGTTTGATTCACATTATTTATAGGCAACTGATTTAAACTTGAAAAACAAATGCCAGTTTGGCCCATTAAACAGCAAACAATATTATTTATTTAAAAAAGGCTGATAAGAGTAATCTCAAAAAATGGCCAGTTTGGCTGAAAAATAATTTGAATCAGCCATAAAAATCTGTGATGCATTCAGTGCATCCCTACTCATGACAAAATCTGCATTTAGATGACAAAGCTCATAGAGATCACCATGACTGAGAGTGGTGGCTAAAGTAATCCTGCTAGTAATCAACTTATTTGTAATGTATCTATAATCTGATTACTGTCTTTTTTTGTAATGGAATAGTTTTTTGTGTCCTGATTATGTAATGCTGTTACATTTATTGTCTCACTACCCAATTCTGATAGTGGATGTCACTGTTGGCCCACACACAGATGATTAGAGGATAGCTTACTAGTGGCGCAACTGTCTAAATGCCAGAAGATTGTATTCGGTACCCGTCCATGGCCGGGAGTCCGAAACGGCATAATCGGCCTCCCTCTCGGACCAGTACTCAGTGTGATGATAGCCAACCTGCCAGTCTGTTAGCTGATGTAACAGAATTGACAGATGTTAACAGTGTTCTCCTCAAAGTGTGTTGAGCTGTCCAGTAATGTTGAATCAGTGGCAGTTTGAAAAGATGCGGTGTCGCTTTATTTGTCTCAGAGGAAGCAGGTGCTAGTCTTCACCCTTCCAGCCTGATAGCATCATGTGGTTGGTTAGTGTTGAGTAAAACATTGGAGGTCCAGGCAAGAATGCCACTGCCTAAAAGAGTCCTTGGACTAGATTCCTAAACTACATTCACCACCACTGTGAATCACTCTTGAGAGATATGTGGCTGTTTGTTTGTCACAAGCCTCATAAATGTCTTAAAACAGAGTTTTTATTTGGACATTACAGATGCCACAACACAGTTGGAAACTACTTGAAATAGAAGTAAAAAGTCATTCAGCATGAGTTTATCGACTAATAGAAAGAACATTTAAATTCAAATCTGAAGAACATTTTCATGTGTTAAAATGTGATTTTCTGTCCACGTCTAAGCTTTTCAGATCAATGGTGGCTTTCTTTCCTGTGTGGCAGTGCGTGTTTATCTCCTGACACAGCCAGCAGTGTGTGTGGCAGAGCAGAGAGACGGTAAGTTTCGTCCTCTGAGCCCTGCCGAGCTCATGGCCGTCGATTCCATCTGCAAAGAGCCACTCCCATGAGCCATGGCCTAAGCAGGCAGGCTCTGATAAGGCGCACTGAGGCTCCTAGAAGGAAAAAGGGAGAAAAATAACCTTGGGAATCTTTTGAACCTGATGAGATCCTTAAAAACCTATTAGAGGGTGCTGCACCCTTAGCCTCCCACCACAACCTGGTGTGATGGATGCCATTGTGGAGGGAGGGGTGGCACGCAGTTGGCAGTTTGAGGTGACAGGATGAAGATTAAATGATGGGATAAATAGATAAACCTGTCTGCATCCACTGAAATCACCCCCTTTTGACCCAGCCTAAGACTTCAACAAGGTTGTCCTTGTTTCACATCAGCCACAGAGCCCTGACACATTTGGGATGATTTGAAAGGGCCTATAACCTACATTTTTCTGTTTATTTGTTTGTTTATTTATTTATTTATTATTTACTAATTCATTCATTCGTTTTTACATCCGTATAGCTTTTATGTGATTTTTATGTACAATATGTGATTGTAATTTATGTTTACCTCACCGTTTGTCAATGTCTCTATTCTTAGGTTCTTATTCTCGCTGTGCCTTGATTGATTGATTAATGCCGTGTTAAATAGACATCCTCTACAGGGAACACACTTCTTGTAATTCACAATTACTGTTTATTTGTTATATTCAGGAAATAAAAAAAAAACACACACACATAAATTTGTGTACATATATATATATATATATATATATATATATATATATATTATATATATATATATATATATTATTTGAAAAAGGAAGAGGTCAGGTTTTCGATAATGTGACCTTTTTAATATAAGTACAGTGTCTGAGATGATTTGTTATGTGCTGATAAAAGACAACAAGTCTTATCTCAGACACTGCGACCAGAGGTAAGTAGTCTTAAACTCATACTCATGTAAAAAGAATTGGTTACCTTTTCATTCCAGCAAAAATGTTTTTGGTACTGTTGGAGCCCATATTGTGTAAATCCAAATTTCCCTTCCTTTTTTAATTTAGTTCAGTGTAATATGTAAACACTGCAAAAGTACAAAAATGTACCATTCTCTTAGCAGTCTCTACAGTCCATATATTCAAAACTAAGCTGCAGAAACAGCCTGTCCTGTGTTCTGAAAACATTTACGTATATCCAACTATTCAGCTTACAGCAGTTCAGCTCCGACCATTCACACTGAAGTTGTAAGTAGTGTTTCAGCCTAGACTTAGGCACAATACAGGGCAGCCAATGAGAACAGAGATAATTTGCATCGTTTACACTTAAAGGTGCAGTGAGAAAACAGACCCCGTTTAATTCCAAGGGATAAAAGAGGTTGGATAATGGTCAAAAAATCAAGTATGACTATTTAGGTCTATAAAACCACATAAACACTATAATTGGATGACTTTAAGTGGGAAAAAGTTAAAATGCAAGAAAAATGCAGGATACAGGGCCTTTAATACATGCATTACGATGTTTAACTTGTGCTTAGTGGTGTTGCTCTCCATGTTCTGTGGTGTTTCTGTAGTTAGATTCTGTGGTGCAAGCTCAGAGAGTGGCCATGCCATCTAAAGCTCATCACTTTAATTACTCGTTAATTGCTATGAGTAGATAACTCACTTTACTGAGATATTATTAATAGACTTGTGGAATAGCACAGTGTGTTTGAGTGTGCCAGTTCATTATAGTAGCCTCG